TATCTTAGGAACATGTGTGGATTCTAACTACGTCTCCTACGGCTTCCTAAAAGCCACCATCATCTCTCATTTGAATTATAATTTTAAAAAATCTTTTGGTTAAAAGATGAACCATTTTACAGGGCACAAGCCAGAGGCATCTCGTACATTCACAGTGTTGTGAAAGCATCATCTCTATTATTTCCAAAACATTTTCATCATCCCCAAAGGAGACCTCACACCCATTAAACAGTGACTCCCCATTCCCACCCCTACCCACACCCCCAATCCTTGGCACCACTAATCAGCTTTCTGTCTCTATGGATTTGCCTACTCTGGACATTTTGTATGAATGGACTCATGCAATATGTGACCTTTGTGTATGGCTTTCTTCACCCATTATATTTTCAAGATTCATCCACATCGTAGCATGAACCAGTACCCCATCCCTTTTCAGGGCTGAATAATATCCCATTGCATGGATATACCACACCTTGCTTATCCATTCATCTGTGGATTGGCATTTGGGTTATTGCCATTTTTTGGCTATCATGAATGGTACTACTATGCATACTCACGTACAGATAATTTGTTTGAACACCAGTTTTTAATTCTCTTGGGTAAATACCCAGGAGTGGAATTGCTGGGTCCTGTGGCAACTCTATGTTTAGGTTTTTGAGGAACTGCTAAACTGTTTTCCACAGATTGCACCATTTTATTTCATTTGAATTATTTTAGCAGCCTATTCTTTTTTTTTTAATTTAAGTTTACTTTTATTTATTTTGAGAGAGAGATAGAGAGTAAGCAGGGGAGGGGCAGAGAGAGGGAGACAGAATCCCATGCAGGCTGTCCACACTGTCAGCACAGAGCCCGATGTGGGGCTCAAACCCACTAACCATGAGATCATGACCTGAGCGGAAATCAAGAGAATCAAGAGTCCGGCACTTAACTGACTGAGCCCTCAGGTGCCCCTTAACACCCTATTCTTTTTTTTTTTCCCCCAACGTTTGTTTATTTATTTATTTATTTATTTATTTATTTATTTATTTTCAACGTTTTTATTTATTTTTGGGACAGAGAGAGACAGAGCATGAACGGGGGAGGGGCAGAGAGAGAGGGAGACACAGAATCGGAAACAGGCTCCAGGCTCCGAGCCATCAGCCCAGAGCCTGACGCGGGGCTCGAACTCACGGACCGCGAGATCGTGACCTGGCTGAAGTCGGACGCTTAACCGACTGCGCCACCCAGGCGCCCCAACACCCTATTCTTAACACAGCCACCAGCACGACCACTGAAGACGTGAATCAAATTGTGTCCCTGCTGCCCTCCATCTTCAATGGGTCCCATCTCACTCAGGGCAACATCCAAAGACCTCACAATGGCTTACAATGCCCTACATGACTTAGCTTCTGGCTCCCTCCAGGTATCTTCTTCCACCTTCTTACCCACTCAGTATGGACCTCCTCCCCCTGCCTTTTTTTAAGGCGATCTCTAACCCAACGTGGAGCTCAAACGCATGACCCCGAGATCGAGTGCCACATACTCTACCACCTAAACCAGTTAGGCACCCCCCTCCTCACTGCATCAGGCGGGCTCCCACCTCTGGGCTTTTGCCCTCATTGTTTGCTTCTCCTGGAATGCTCTACCCCTGTATCCACAAGACTGGTTCATTCACTTTCTTTAGGTCTCTCTTCTAAGTCACCTTCTCTGAGACACCTTCTCTGATCATCCTGTCTCCTTTGCTCTGCTTTATTTTCTCCATAGTACTTATCACAATCTGACATCATACATACATTTACTCACTGTTTTATGTATGTATGTGTTTATACTTAATTGTGTGTCTTCCTTTCACTAGGCATAGGCTTCTTTTTCTCTTTGTTCACTGATGTACCTACCCCCAGCACCCAGAAAAGTGCCTGGAGCATAGTAGGTGCTCAGTACATTCAGGTTACATTTCATGAGATATGCTGATGCGGTTCATAGCCATTTTCAGATATACTTAAATTGCCTAACTAGTTGTCTTGGTGTAGGAATGGCTTCCAGGAGCGCTCCTATTGTCCAACGTGCTAACTCACTAGGTACGAGGCCCACCGTCTACTGGGGCATGACCTTAGGCTCTAGTGGCTACTCCACAAGCCCCTGTATAACCGAGGTGAGTTAATGATTAAAAGAACTGAGCCAGAAGCTAGTCCATGAACACATGTTCCGAAATGTAGCTAACATGAGTTAAACATTGTGAAAGGTTTCACAAATTTCCAAAATATTTAGATGACATCACCAATATGGACTTGTGAAGTTGAAACTTTTTCTAAGCTATAATGACTAAGAAAAAGTTTCATCCAGCACACTAGAGGAAAAGAGAATTTACTGTTCTCTTCTCTCTGTAGATCAGGATATTATGAAATAAGTACACACAGCCAAAAAAGTAGGCGACAAACCACAGAGGTGTGTCAGGCAGTGAATTAATAAAAACATTACGTTATCTTTGGGGATTGTGCAACGTTTGTGGTGTTTGTGAGGTCTTTTAAATGTGTAACTTGTTATTATTCCATAGTCTACATTTTCATGTTCATACCCAATTTTGTGTTGGTAACTTTGTATTTCTTTTCTTAAGGGATGCTCCCCTCCCCTCCACCTCCACCAAATTCTATAAGCTCTATGGGCCCTGTTGATGACTCATTGGCTCAAAATAGGAGTACGTTCTCAAGCTGTGCGATCCCCGGGCAGCGGCTGTACCTCTCTGAGACTGTTTCCTTAATAACAAAATGGGGATCATAGCACCCCTACACTGCAGGGTTGTTAAGTTTAAATAAGCCAAGGCCTGTGAGTGTTTAATGTAGACTTGGAACACACTGAGCAACGATGAATCTCAAACCCGCCTTCCAGCTAAGAACTTCTCCGCAGCTTCCGGACCCGCGGCGGCCAAGACCCGCCTGTGCGCATGCGTTCCCGGCTCTCCTCTGGTCCGCCCCTCGGCGTGGGAGCGTCCTATTCCGCTGCAGGGGGCGATAGGCGGAGTCAAGGGGCTACTTCCAGGATTTCCTCCCCTCCGAGGAACACCCCTCCTTGTATGACTGGCAGTAGTAATTAGCCAGTAAAGATTGGAGAGAAGACCGACGACCCGGCCCATTTAGGAACCTCTCATCCGAGTTGGCCAATTGCAAGCTTTGGTGGGTGGGCTCTTCTCTGAGGCGGGACACGGCGTGACGGGCGTCCGTTTTGACTAATGAGAACTCGGCTGGGAGTAAACCAGGGCCAATCAGAAGCGAGAAGGCCGGATCTTGGGGCGGGGCTGGAGCTTCGGCAGTTGAACCCCTCGCGAGGAGGGGTGTCTGTGGAGAAGGTGAGAGGCGGCGGGAGTAGCGGGTGCGCGGGCCGGGGTGGCGATCCTGGGGGGAGGGGATACTCTGGGGGAAGGTGGGCTGCGGCGGGCAGTGTAAGAGTCGAGAGGGGGTGACCCTTAACACGGATGGGCGCTCTGATGAGTGTAAGGCAGAGGGCAGCGTATGAGTGGGGGAGATGTTTTGTATTTCTCAGGAGGGTCTTTAATGCGGAAAGTGTGTAAAGCAGGCGACAGCAGGTGGTAAAATACAGAAATGCCCTTGTGATATAGCCTTGCGATTTAATGGGAGGTTTTAAGGCAAGGGGTTATTACAGCGCAGTGTGGAGGAGCGGAGGTCCTTGCGATGAGTTACAAGCTTTGATTCGGGTGGAGGGCAGGTGAGGAACTATATCGAGGGAGGAAATGAGTGAGGACTCCGGGGATGAAGGTGTGTGTTAACGAGGTGTGAAGGCATGTGATCGATACACGTAGCGTTTGTTGAGGGCTTACTATGTGCCAGGTTTTGAATGAATTAACTCTGAAAGTTCCTAACAACACTACCAGTGGTTCAGAGTGTGGGGTCTGGAGTTGGGGCTGCCTGAGTTTAAATGCTGGCTTTGCCACTGGCCCTGCCACTGAACGTCACGGTGTCTTTGGGCCAATTGTTTAACCTTCTGTGCCTCAGTTTTATCATCGTTAGGGTGACCTCATCTCTTACTTGTCTATATCTCCCACCTAGTGGCCTCACCCAGTCTCTTGGCTTCACATGCTCTTTATATAATGATGTCTCCAAATGCCTGTCTGCAGTCTGGATCTCTCCCCTGAACTCCAGACTCATTTGTCCAACGGCCGACTCTTCTCTACTTGGAGGTCCAACTGACATACATGCTTTAAAAACTTGTCCCCAATCAAGCTTGTATTTCCCCCTTTCAATCTTCAAACCCAGCTGATGTCAGTTCCATCCTTTCGGGTACTCAGGACAAAAACCTTGGAATTGTCCTTGACTCTCCCTTTTCTAGTGCCCACATGCCATCTGTCAGTCGGCACATCTCATGGGCCTGTCTTCAAAGCACTTCCAGAATCTATCCATATCTCACCACCTCCCTTGCTACTGCTTTGATCCGGGCCATCACCTGCTCTTGCCTGGTCTGTTGCAGTGGCCTCCTTGCTGGGCTCCTTGCCTCTGCCCTTGACCCGCCCCCCCCCC